TTCGAAGAACATTACGCATCGTGATTTGAAACCTTCAAAGTGCGTCAATTCACTGATGTTAAAGTAAAATTGAATTTTAATGTAAAATTGTTTTCTTGTTATTTCAGTGTTTTTCTGGACGATAAACGAAACGCAAAAATTTCTGATTTTGGAATACGTCAGTTATGGGAGGAACATAAAGACGCACTCTGCATTCCTCTTGGAACAATCGTTTATATGGCTCCCGAAACTGTATGTAGTCTGCACGTCTCAAAAGAGGTAAATCATGTGTGTTAAAAATTTCACTTTTTTACTTTATTATTGTGCATGAACATTTCAAAAATTTATATTGTTCAAACTGTTTCTGATTTTCAGATTGATGTATGGAGTTTCGGTGTATTAATTTGGGAACTTTTATTGGCAATCCGGCCTTACGAAGGTTTTAAGCAAAACCAAATTATTCATTTAGCATTGTCAGGGTTGGTCACTGTTAGAAAAAACTTTGATTTTTTGTTTGAAATATTGAATTAAGAGTGCTTTGGTTCTGCTTAAGTGAAAAACATTAAATCAATTTCATTTCAGGAAACTTCATTTGCCTCTATCAGACCATATGCCCTCCGGAATAAAACAGTTACTGCAAGATTGCTGGGATAACGACTCTCAAAAGCGACCCAAGTTCACTGCAATTTCAAGCAAGAAGGTAACATTTACTTGAACCATTTTTTCTTTCTTGTAAGTTCTAACAAATTTAAATTCTTGAAACATTGAGCGTATATAATATCACCTTTTACGAAGTGACTTCTGTGTAAATATTTCTAAAATTACAGTCATATTGGGAGATGGAAACGATAAAGGAAAGCAAATGGGTGGAACCACTCTATGCAGCGAAGTCGGAGGTAAAAAACGCTATGACACAGATGCATGAGGAAATTAAGTATAAATAGCTAAAATTGAAAATCTACTTTTTTTGTGAAGCGTAGAATCTAATGTAAATTTAAGGCAGATATAATGGTGTATGTACTGTCAGATATATATACTGTCATTCTTATTTATAACTTTTGATTTATTTTATTATTTCATTGTTAATACTAGCTACTTTATGCAGCCCAGTGTTTGAAAGAATTACTGATTGTTACTGTACGGGTAAAGTAAGAACAAAGAGGTTAAATCATACAAATGCGTCCTCTATTGAAGTCAGTCACTGTCTACTCAGTAATTTGAGTAAGGAAACTGTCGTCAAGGTAGAAAGGATCAAAAACACTAAATCTGAAGATCTTAAAAGAAATAAAGATAGAAATTAACAGTCAGTGGTTGGTACTGTGGCAAGTAAGGACTAAATTACGACCCACAGTGGAAATACTGTATTATCAGAAAGGTCCAAGTAGGGAGTGTAGAGGATTACTATTGCGATACTTTTTCACTCTAAAAAGGCGTTCGTTAGTCAAGATACGAATGCGGATTTGGAAGAATTTTCATTAGCAGACATTTAGACTATACGCAGTTAGCGTACTTTCAAGTAGAACTGACGGACAGTCACCGCCATATGACGTCTAAGTGGTTACTGCAGAAAGTTTTTTTTTATAGATAAGCACTTCTGCAGCGAAAAAAGCAGAAGGCACTATAAACATTTACGACTAATCTCAAAATGCAAAAAAAAAATCACAAAAAAAGACGAAAATATTATACATTCAAAAAGACATTGTATAAAATAAAATAGCAAAAAATGTACTTCAAAACAAAGGATTTGTAGTCACTGAATCTTAGTGATTTACACTTGATTCAAAAAAAAAGTAGTCAAAACTTTCCGTATTTTAATAAAATTTTTCACAAAAATTTTACAGCAAATATAAATTTATTAATTTTTTTTGTTAATTTCGTTTTTGTGTGAGGTTGATAAAAAGAGGAAGAAATAATAATGTGAATAATGTGAAGTAGAGGATAAGGTAAATTATTAGCAGTATTTGTACTACAAAACTTCCTAAAAAGGTTATTTGAGGCTAGAGAAAACTGTACTTCAAGTTTCCATTCTGATCTGTTTGAAGTTATTAAAAACATCTGTTGCGACCGCTTGAGAGAGGAAACTACAAGGGAAGAATTTTAGGTCAAAGCATCTCCTTGAGATGAAGCGCCCCAAAGTGTTGCAGCATTGAGAGTCTGAGCAAACTGAAACCAGGCTATGAAGTCTAGCGTTGTTACCGTCACTCATTTGCTCTTCTACGAGTCACTTGTTTCAACTATTGAATTTTCTGCGGCTTTACGCCGTGTCTAGTAGATAGTTTGAGATCTCTATTGTAGATCTTAAATTTAATGTTATTATAATTTATTATTTTTGTATTGTACTGTAATTTCATGACTAAGTATAACTACTAGCTTCAAACAAATGTTTACAGTAACTACTAGTTGTGATTGTAAGAACCAAGTAAAAATAACAAAGTTGAAATTTAAAAAGAATGTTTGCAGTTTCAAGTAGAAAGAGCCACTTTCTGCGAGCTCTTTCAAATAAGAAGAAGATCAGTCACTGTAGGAAAGATCAAAGACACAGAAGACAGATCTTGTAAGAAATCAAAGAGTTAGAATAGTGGCTTACGGTTGGAGCTTGGGACACAATAACTAATTTCGTTTACGACGGAAATATTGTAGCATAAGAGAAGGAAGTTTAGGAAAGACTGTTAAACTTGTAGATCTCCAATTTTGGAAGTTGT